GGGGGGTGGGGAGAGCAGAGAAGAAGTAATTTACTTTTCCATTTTCTAACCATTCTGATGCTGCTGTTAGAAATTGTAACATCAAGATAAAGCTGGATTTACATCTTCTGTCAGTTACTCTTTTAGGCTTTTCTGCGCAACCCACCTCAACACCCATGTAGATCTTTTCGTATTTTGAAAAAGATCTCCCAGTTTTTACTTGCCACCTTTCCTCACAACCACTTTTGCCAATATTATGATAAAAAAATCTGTTTGCTAATCCTGCGCTCTCTTGCTTCCCAGCTTTCTAGGTTATCAGTGAGTGAAGAAACTTAAAAAGCACAGAGTTTGAAATAACAGCACACGGACTGCCAGGCCTCATTAAACCTAAGATCTATTACAGAGCATGATAACGGTGATGTCCTCATTTATTTTTCCATAAACTCTACGTGTCAGAACCCATTTAATATATTCTTGAGGAGTTCTAACATACAGGCTTGTAATTATAACAGTGAAATAAATGACTAGTAAAAATAATATAAAGATGGCAATTAAAATATGGGCAACTTGCTGATTTAAGATCATATTTAGCAGTCACTGAATGGAAGCAAATGCCACACCCTCAGAATGGTATAAAATATTTACATTAATATGCTTCTGTAATGCACAATTTGTATGTACACAGTTGTTTTGCTAGTTGAATGTATGATAATTAAATGTAGCATCCATAATGAAGGTTGCATTTAAAACAAAATTCCCTTTACACAGACACAGAGAGTACTAATAAAAAGAAGTGCAGAAAAAAGCCTATTCAGAGAAGGTCTCATTTTGTTTAATATGCATTTGGCTACCCATTGTAGCATATGCTGCCAGGTTTGCATTGTATGCTAATAAATCAATATTCAACATCCAACATTTTCAAGAATCAGAAGTAATTCGGAAGCAAACTAATGGCTATACAAGTTCAGATAACTTATAAAGAAAAAATTTAAGTAGTGCTGGGTTGCTTCAGATGTCTCAAAAAGTAGCATCTGAAAATTGAAAGTTATTTTTAAAGTTATTTAATTCAAGCTAAATCACTAAGCAGAATCAGTTACACAGACACTCTGCAGAAACAGAAATCAAAACTTAATTATTTTTAAGGAAAAAAAAGTTTTTATAAGCTTTTCACAGAAAAGTTGTCTTTAATGTGGTGCTAGAATAGATGATACTGCCAGAGATCGGACTGACTTTCTTTGTTACTCAACACATGTTTAGAAGAAAACATCTAACCAAAATATGGTCCCAGTTATACATACACATTGCAGTGAGTATTGTTCTTGTAATTAATTTTTTTGGGTTTATAAAATCACTAATAATGTTAGTGTGAAGAGTAACCACAGTTAGTTGGCATTTATGAAAGATTTTTAAAAGCTCACTCTCTGGTACTATGTATAACTAGGGAGCTGAGTATTGTTAGTCTGTCAAACCATAAGATTTCTTACTATTAGCCTATTTTATCCTCCACTCCTTTTAATTGCTGGATGTATTTTAAAGAAGATTATAATCCAGACATGTAGCTTTATAAGGCACTGCATTCATGTCAAGCAATCTTGATGCTAAAAATGATCTCCATCTCTTTAGATGCACCAATGTAACAGGATTCTCCCCTTTCAACAGGCATTACTTAACATTTCTTTTTGTCATAGCAGACATGTCAACATGTGTCATACACCAACAATGGCTCTGCATGAAATATCAGCTGCTTTGAATCAACATAAAGAGCTTTCAGGAGAAAATTCTGCCTCCAACTAGACTTCCACAAAAATGAGATTCAATACTATTTTAATACACAGAAGTATATTTCCCTATTATATGCTTGAAGGAGACCATTTCTGTCTCCTGGGCAGAGAGAGTTGCTGTTTCTGTTCCTCCCCAGCTTGCTGCCCTCTACCATTCTCTTCCCTAGTCAACTTCTGGCTTCATGCACATTTTCGTTCCATGCTCAGCTGTACACATCTGCCTTCAACAGCACAATTTCCTGTTTTCCCACTTTCTTGAATTCAAATTCCTACCTTGTGGTTCCCTCTATTCTTCTGCCTTTTGACCTCACTTTACTCTCCAAATTTCACTTCATATACATAACTAGTGTCCCCTTCCTACCTTCTTTGTCCTTTCAGGGGTATTTGCAAGTCTTCTATGTTTTAGAATAGCATAAAATTGTATATGCATAATCTCCTTTAAAATAAAATTTCTTTTACACATGCTACAGGCACTTATCCCAGGAAGAGCACTAAGAGGTGGTGGTTTTTAAAGTCAGCAAGCTTAGGATCATCTCTGTGATACCTGTAAGAATAAGTTCATGGGTGAAAGCTAAGTTTTCAAAAATAAAACTCTTCCTATTAAGACCCACTACATGAAAAAAGTCTACATAAGATTTAGAGACCGTTGAGTTGAAGTTTCAGCCACAAGATCTCCCACATTTACAGAACAGATACATGTTTTGACAATAAAAATTTACATTTTATGTTAAACATTTCTAATAAAATATCATTAACACAAGTTCTGTGACATTTACTTATTTGTATTAAGTATATTTAGAAGAGTCTACTAAGTTACAAAAGAAATTTTAAAAAAATACAAAAATAAAAGTAATCTTACTTTTTCATCATCATCAGAAAAAGGGGCACCTCCAGGGGTCTTGTTTATTGCTTGGGCAACACCGATAATCTCTCCATCACTGTTTCTTATGGGCATGCACAAGAGTGACTTCGTCTTGTATCCTGTCAGTTTGTCAATCTCATCATTAAAGCGGCGATCCTTCAAAAGAAAATAAGGAAGCATTAACAGACGTGTCATACATCTAAGCTTTCTTCAGGGAGCAAAGTATTTTATTTTCTCAATGTCTTATAATAGTATTTTCAGTAGCATTATGTTGTTGTTTCTCTGTTATCTCATTCTTTATTGACTGCCTTTTCGCAGTTAAGATACTAAGAAAAATAGTTTTCTCAGAGGATCAGTACAAGGTTTACTATTACATAATTGTATTCACTAAAGTCCCACATTTACATCTCAATTAGAAGAATGCCACAGCAGCTACCAGGAGAACATGGAAAATGAAGACAAATCAAGCATATGAGGAACATAAGTATGAGAAGAAGATAAATGTGATACAGAGACTACTCAACATGCTTTGGGCTTTCATAAACACTCACAGCTCAGCACCATTGCTGTGCCTTCTTTGATGGCTCTGGGGCCATCTGTGAGCAGAGGGTCCTCCACAGCACCATGATAGCAACACAGGCCTTGGCACTGGCCATAGACAGTGAAAGCCAAGGGCAAGGTGTCTCTGACAGGTTTCAACATAGATAAGGAAACTATCAGTTGCTCAAGGTCTGGCTCCTGCCCACCACATGTTCACAGGCACTTTTCAGTTCCTTCAGTCTTAACCAATACTGCTTGCTTCACTGCCTCTCTATATTGCTGCCCGTAAACTTCCCTACCAGTGAAGCTGTGGGTAACCACATGGCCCCTGAGCTCTGTGCACACACTATAGCTCCTCCAAGGCACACACTAATGAAAGAGCTGTTTGCAGTTCACCAGCCATATCTTTTCATAAGTGTGCATGTGAAGCATGCAGATGTTGGGGTTGGCATGAAAGGATTACAAGCTGCAAGGAATGCTGTGCCATCTTAATTGAGAATGCAGAGGAGAATGAGCCATGCAGATCTGGTATGTACTAATTTCTAGACTATCCCTGGCTGGGAAATCACCATGTTTACCCCAGAGCGGAGCAACGGTGTCCACTAGCTGTATACAGCATGGACACTGCAGAGTGAAATAGGGAGCATACCAGCATGACACTATATATTGGTCCTAAGTCTCTATCTGTTTTTTACGAGTTTATGCCAGTTCAATCTGATCAGTGATTGAGGTGTGTTTACGTACAAATTGCTCTACTGATCTGTACTTACTCTTCACTGCCTAGTATCTGCACCAAACAAGAGAGCTTCTGAACTTTCTTGTGCATCATAATTTATAGGTTATACCACCTTGTATAACTAGCACATGAGAAATACCAGGAAGAATCCATTTCAGGCAGAAGTGCTATATGAAGTTGTGATGCTTTAAACTTGTGCTTCTCAAGTTTCTATACTCACACTACATAAACTATGAAACAGTGAAAGACTCAACAGAGACTGTCTCACAATACCAACATCCAACTAAATCATTGTGGAGCAGGCTGAAAACATATGGGCAAATATCTGGGTAGTCTAAAGGTTCCTAAAATGTAGCGTATGTCAGCTAGAGTATTTTTTCATTATTCTGTATTGCTCAAAGGGGCAAATTTAACAATACAACTCTCATTAGTGTTAACAGAACAGAGCAACTGAATCCCCACAATAAATGCTTACCCTTAAGCTTTACATGGCAAGTAGCAATCATTTACTCAAGGATTTTGCAGGTATAATTTCTTGTAGATTTGTTTATTTTCAAATTTTGCTGGCCAAGGATTATATCCAATATAATCAACGAGGTTTTTTATTGCTGTTACACAAAATTCTTTAAGACATGATCATTTCATGTGCTTTTGTATCCACTTACATTGTTTTTTTGAACAATATTAATGCATAATTAACTATGAATATTTTTATCTATTTTAATTATTTATTATATAAAATCTCTAAACCATGATGGAATAAGCTTGCAGTGTAAACCTATTGGTCATAAAGCATGCAGTTTCTCAAAAAAATACAGAACATACTATGAGCATAAGACCCCTCTTACAAGAGAATGACAGAATTTAATCTCTTACATCCGAACAATAAAAATGTTTATAACACATCATGTTGAAGAGTAAAGATAGTAATAACAAGATGCTCTTTGAAGTAACAGCAGCATTTTTTTATTTTTAATTTTTTCTAAGGCAAAGAATGTGCCTAAGGTTATACATATTTATTGAGGGATGTACATAAGAAATGCTTGCACCACATTCAAATACTACCACTTTTCAACACAAAATCCAAATCTTTTATTAAAAATAGAATTGCTTCATACTTCTTGTTGGCATTCCTATTTTGTGTGGGGTCACAGTGCCGGACATAGAGTATATTTCTGTCCCCAAAGCTATTCAGGTACTAAAGTCATAGTAATAGTACTGCTAATTCCAAATGCATCAAAAAAATTTACTTAAATGGCAGTTAGACAGTTCTCACTTAAGATTTGAAACACAGTTGAGGGGCAACTGAGATAACACATTTTACACTAAAGCAGTACGAGTAGTGTCTCATGTCCTAGTGAAGACCCAGCTGCTTGAATACCTATAGGAATTTCAGAATGCAATATATTGCAAAAGATGATAAACTACCATCTTCAAAAAACACAATAGTATAAAAATATGCATTGGGTGACAATATTACATCTCGAGATCAGATTAAATTTGATCACAATTTAAAAAGATAATGCCGTCACTTTATAGAACATTTCTACTGAATGACACCCAACAAAGACTTATATCTAGTGTTAGTAATGTGATTATTCATACACCCTTATACTACGGCATGCTGCACATCACATCCATATGCTGTAGATGCTCACAGTTTCTCTGTCAAGTAGACGGAGACTCTTTTTGACCTCACCTCTGTCTGTTGCACTCAAAATGTAGTACATCAAATAAGGCTTTTTATGGGGGCTAGTATTCCAGTGGGGTTACAAATGCTTTTTCAAAGAAATAAAATAAAACCTCAGCATTTTCTGAGAAACTAAATACAAGAACATCCCTACTTTAAAAAAACCTCCTCCACATGCCAATATATTTCTCAGCATATAGCTTAGCTAAAGACATCACTCAAGGAGTATATTGTTTGGATTTGCAGTTTGTTTAACCTTCCTCTGCAGGATTCCTCTGCACAGCTAGCTACCTCTGGAGAGAGATTACTGTATTCAAACAAAAGTGTTTAAAAGATGTATTAAATATCTTTTTATACAACTTGATAGGCTTGCCAGAATAGTAAGTGGAGCTTATAGTACTTTCAATCATTAAACAGTCTGAAGTTTTTCTTAAATACTTTAAGATTTGTCGAAAGCAAACAGCTGAGAACAAAATTAAAATCTTAAGGAGAAAATTACTTTCAATATAGATTGACAAAAACTAAAGGGAACTGAAGTAAATATGGGTCATTTGTTTACACAGCAGTGTGCAGAAATCCCTTGTCCAGAACAGTACAACTTGTACTGCAGATCACAAAGTGATGCAAAAGAAGCTGCAAAGTTCAGAAGAGGTAGTGCTAACAGCATCTTGATAGAGAATAGTCTTCAACAGCTCTTCTATCAGCCAGGGAGGGAATTACTGCTATTTACTGGCAGCAGCACAGTTCCTCCAGGATGAAGTTAGCATGTATGCTACAGACAAGAGTTACAGCCAGTTCTGACTCCCCTAACACAAGGTAACTGAGTTGTTCTACAAAAATAAGCTCAAATTCCGTTTTCAAAACTTGAGACAATATTGGCTGTGAAATAATGTCCATATTTGTCTCAGGTGATGAAAACAATCTATACAGTCCTTAATCTAAAGTAAGACTTGATTGTGATGAGTAAGAGATAATTCCTTAAATCTTTACTGATGCTAAAAACTGACAATTTTTTTTTCCTGGCAATTTTATTTCTATTTTTATTTTCCTGTTGTGAATTGCAGATGCTATAGAAATAGACTGTTCTAGCCACCTCAAGAGACATGATTTAGAAATGCTCTAAACTCACTCATCAAAGAGTAACATATACACTTGGTTATTTTATTACTTGTTGCAAGTTTTCATACCTTTCAATGACAAGAAACTAATATCAGCTGTAGTATTCATATACAGTTTATAGTGCTCTACAGCCACAGAATATCAAGCTCTTAGTTCTTTATTATCCTGTTTTATTTAGTTCTGTTTTAATTTGATAATTTCATTAGGAGTTGTTCTTCTTCCTTAGACCTGTTTCTGCCTCTGGAGCATATTAAACAGTCTTTGCTTCCATAAAGACCAGATTACTAATACATAGCCTTTGATGAGATATCCTTGAATTATTTCTGCCCAACAACTTCCTTAAGAGAACTAGAACCCCCACGATGAATGGCTTTTAATAATGGCATCAAGGACCCAGACATGCCTGATCTTGTGATCTTTCAACATGCTTCTAAAATCTTTTATATCAATTTCAATAGAAGCTGAACTGTTCTGCACTGTAGAGAATCCTTCCTAGAAAGAGATGGTTCTTCTAAAACAGAAGTGAAATGTAGGGCAATTATCACACACTTCATCAATGAATAAATTAAACATTATTTCTTCAACTACTTCTTGGTAATGGCTGAAGCACTATTTAGAAGTAGCTATTGTTACTGAAATATTGATAATATTCTTTGTGTTACTGAAGAGACAGTACCTGCCCTACTAATCTTGTTCAAAGCAGAACAGAGTACCTGGGGAACCACTGAAACGACAACATGCCTTGACTAGTAATATCATTGTTGATTTAAATCTTGTAGGCCTTCTAAAAGAAGTAAAACTTTAAGGGGGAGTTTAGCTGAAAAGGACAGCTGTTGGACAGACAAGGAGTTGTGATTCATTTATCTGAATACACTCAATTAAGAGACGCATTGTTACGAGACAAAACAAGGGTCTGCGATAAGTATTATGAAGATGTATTCATGTTTATCTGAAAGTTTCTTTTGTTTCGGTAACAGGGTTCACTGTAGTGGGTATTTTAATCTAATTGTAATTTACAACCTGTGACATATGCAGTCATTGCTTTTTCAACAGGCCTCACGATTAACACGCAAAGCGCTGTTTGACCTGCAGTGGATGGTGGCACACAGGACAGGGGCTTGTGAACCTGTCTGAGCTGGATATACACAGTACAGCTGCTGGTGTTTGGAACAGATTTAATGATGAGCTATCAATCCGGTGTTCCTTAATGGATGCTATGGAGAACCAGAGACACAGGAGGGATGAGCAATCTGGAAGGTGTTTTTTAAAGGACAACTCATTGCTGCTATATTGTTTCTCCTTTAAAGTGCATTTTGAAAGTTCCCTGACTGCATCTCTTGCTGGGACCTCTACCCTAAGAGAAAGGAAGCACAGAGATCCTGGGGCGATCAGACAGCCTTAATCCCAGAAGCATGTTGTTCAACAAGGATGCAACAACATGTTTTGGTCTTCCTGCCATCTGATATCAGATTATCCATTTATGATGAAGAACTGAACCACCTTTTG